TCTCTGCTGCTTGTCTCAACCCCAGACACCGGATTTAGTTCATTAAGGGTGTGACAATTAGCACTGGAGCTTAATCAGGTATGTGTTAGGACAAAGAAAACACTAACGTGTGCAGTAGAGGAGTGTTATCTGACTTGGGATTAAAGCTCCAATCATATATTATGACCTCAGACTTGACAGTATGTACTGTATACTACACTGAAATAGGTTAGTACAAACAGCATACATGTAGGTCAGTATGTATAAGTAGGCTAGCACGGCAAAGCTGTCCCTCTCTTTCAAGGAAAAAAAAATGCATAAAAAAAAAAGATTTAAAAAGACAGCCACAACATTAAATGTAACTATAAACAAATGAAAAGGATGACATAACATTCATTAATACAAAATTGCTATTAATAATGCTGAATTAAATGTTAACTAATGCAGTAAATAATGTTAGTTAAGGGAACCTTAATGTAAAGCCAAATGTTACCAAATGTTATACTATTACTGCAATATATATTAACTATGTTGCAATGCACAGACAAACACACACACACACACACACACACCACACACAGCTGTACACAAGAGTTTGGGCACCCCTGGCAAAGTTACATATTTTATCGATTTTTGAAGTGAAAGAAGTAAACACACCTCTGCAGCAAACTTTTGTAAATAACATTTTTCTGCAAATGATAATGCAGTTTATATAGGATGAACTGTGCAAACATTTGGACATCCTTCAATTTGTAAAGTCTCGGAACTTGTTAAGGAAATTGTTAAGCTTTAACTGATTCATTAGGAATTGTTACTCAGGTCAAGAACTGTCATTAGGAATTGTCAGCTCATGAGAGTTCCAGAGCGTAATAAATTCTCTGACTTTTTAAATCCTGTGCTAACACGAAACAGTCACGGCCTCCTTAAAGCAAATGATAAAGGATCTGAAATAATAATAAATCTGATGCCTGAAGAGCAGGAGAATGCTTTAAAAAGATATCAAATCATTCCCAGCTCACAATTTACACTGTCAGATTTTTCATTAAAAAAATATGGCAGTTAAGTGGAAGTCAAGGCGAGAACTGGAAGACCAAGAAATCTTTCAGATAGAACTGCTCATATGCTGGGTACAAAGGCAGAGCAGAACAGACATATGGCACTACAGACTTGCAGGAAGGTTTAGCTGTCACAGGAGTGGTGGTGCTCCATTCTATGCTGCAGCATTGCTTGCACAAACATGACCTGCATGGAAGAGTCATCAGAAAGAAACCTTCCATATAACTTCATCACAAAAGTGAACATCTGAAGTAAGCAAAACACAAGTAAGCTAGATAAGCAAGAGGCATTTTGGCAACAAGAGCTGTGGGTAGATGAAGTAAAAATCGAACTTTTTTGCTACAATCCCTAAAGGTATGCTTGGAGGAAAAAGGAGCAGCATTTGATGAAAAGAACACACTGCCAACTGTTAAGCATGGGAGTCGATGTATTGTGCTTTGAGGTTGTGTGGCAGCCAGTGGCACAGAAAACATTGCACAAGTAGATGGGAGAACAGATTCCAGTAAAGTATCAGCAAATTATGGAAGCAAATATGACACAGTCAGTGAAGAAAGTGAAGTTAAAAAGAGACTGGCTTCAACAACAGGACAATGCTTCAAAACAAACCTCAAAATCCACCACTTCAAGAAATGCAAGCTGAAGTTTTTGGAATAGCCCTCGCAGTAGCCCTGACTCGAACATCACTGAAAATATGCAGGTAGATCTTAAACATGCTGTACATGCAAAATTAAGCCAAGAATCTCTCAGAACTAGAAGCGTTCTGCATGTGAAAAGTGGTTCTAGTTAGTTTTTTTTAATCTAATATAAAGTAATTGTGCATTAATATTTGCAGGAAAATGTTTAATAGTTTGCAGAGGTTGTGTTTACTTCTCTTCATTTCAAAAATCGACATATTCACCCAGCTATATACATAAAATGCCCATTAAAAACCCACATACACATGAACGGCATCACAATAAATTCCCTACTGTCAGAAGCTTTTTTCTAGAGGTGGATTTTAAGAAGGGGAAGATTAGCTATTCATGCCAGCAAAGACAAAGGGCTAATCTTCTCTTTTCTTGTTTAAAACCCAGCCACCTGCTGTAATCCATCACCTTCTTCCTTTATTTCACTACGGGCCACATTCTTATGAATAGATTATTAGAATGTTGAAATAGAAATCCAACAGAACCAGAAAACACATACACACAGTTGCCTCCAGGTGTGTTCAGAAAGGTGTTTTAGATACATGGTATGACATAGATACATACATAGAAGACTCTAGCTTGCATCCTCATGATGATGTTTACAGAGTCTTATTTATTTATCGATTTATTTTGTGAACAGGACATTAAACGGTAAAAGAGAGAGATAAATCCAGAAGAAAACCCTGTGGTCTGCATTACTGTGTGTCTGCTGACAGAGACGGATAGGGAGAGACCCAAGAAAGTGTGTGCGCGTTTGTCTGAGTTTGCACAATGCTGAAAATGGCAGCAGCTTCATCAGTTAGCACTTTATTACCATATCCCATCTGCTACAATGGGGTCAGGATGGACCTAATGAGGGCAGAACAGAGTAACACAACATTGCCAAGCTGCTAATAAATAAACTTAGCACACAGGCTGATTTTGGATAAACTCCACTAGGAGGAATTCATGGCATTTTGGAAACTGAATTAGTCTGCCTAAGAAAATCTCCTTGAAATTTCAGCAGATCTTTCTGTAAGCATCGCTGTGAGTTTTAAAGTAAGGAATTAAACATGTGAAAACAGGCATTCCACAACACTAAATGTAACTATAAATGGATAAATTATTTGCCTTGATATTCATTAATAAATTACAAGTTGCAGTCTTTGGTAAGTTGCTGTGGTATACGAGGAATAAAACACTTTGTGACATGCTGTTACTGAGTTAATGGGACCACCTCAAAGTTGATTGTTTTCCTATAGCAGCATATCCTAAAGCGTTTTTTATTTCTCCTGTACTACAGCAATTTCCAAAAGATTCATTTTTATTAACGTTATACTTTGAGTCCGTTTATAGTTACATTTAATGTTGCAGAATGTCTACAACACAAGTTAGTTCCCACTTTCACTGAATAAATTGATCATCACCTCCTGAAATCTCCTCCTTCTATCCCATAATTTGTGTATATGGCTGCCTAAACACTTGGGGTGAGCATCAATATCAAGTTATAATGCATATTAGAAATGCTGATGACTATATTGGACTATCTGTATCCCTGTCAAATTATGTCAGGAACTAGCAATAGCCTTTTAAGTGAACAGCTTTTGCTCTCGGGATGTAACTAGCTGACACATATGAGACTCTACTTTTTTGATAAAGATGTCTCATCATCCTTGGATAAAAGGTAATCTCTTCCCTGGAGAGAGAAAAGCTTACAATGTCCAGGTAATTTTGTGACTCCTGAGCACCAAAATACCACAGACTTCTTGAGAGATGTAGCATATTAACAGTCTAAATCCAAGCATGCCTACACTGCTGTGGAAGAACCTGGTGCCGTATGTGACAAGTATCAAGTAATGTATCACATCACTTGAAATATCACATTAACCCCTTGAACTCTTCCACTGGAACTGAAATGGACTTTGGGATTAGGATTAGACATCATATATATATATATATAGCCCATACACAATACAGTGAAGCATGATGGTGGCAGCATTAAGGTGAGGATGCTTACCTTCCTAGGGACTAGGAAACTGGTCATGGTTGAGAGCAAGATGGATGGAGCCAAAACCTGAACAACACCAGAAAAAAAAGGTTGTTCTATTCTTCAAGAGACTTGAGATTGGAGTGGAGGTTCACCTTTTAGCAGCAAATACATGGTTCAAGACTAACTAATAGCCCATTCAAAGCCCAGACCTGAATCCGACTGAGAATCTGTGGCTGTTCACCAATGGTTTCCATCCGATCTGAACGAGCTTTGAGCAATTTTGCCAAAAACGAATGGGCAAAAAATATCAGGAACTAAATGTGCAAAGCTGATAGAGAATAGAGACGTATCCCAGAAGACATACTGATGTATTTGCTGCTAAATGTGGTTCTACCACGTATTGGCCCTGAAGGGTGGGTGGGGGGGAAATAACATTTGAGCCACAATAAAAAAAAAATAAATACAATCCAAATTAAGACCATTTCAGTTCCAGGTTGTAACACTACAAAATAAGGAAAAGTTCAGAGGGAATGAATACTTATGCAAGGCACCATATAGCTTGTACTTCTATTAGAAGTGTTTGGTCTCAGTACAGCGCTGTAGGTGCTTAACTACTGAAAAACTGCTTTCTATTCTGGGAATATAATCTTCAATCACGGATTACTGGTTTAATCTTCTATTGAGGATTATTGATTCATTTTAGAGGAATATTACATTTTCTAAAACATCCAGACATTTCTGATTGTCTAATCTGTTACAATGGGCCGTATGCAGAGTTGACCGAACATGTAGTGTTCGGAAGGTTGTGTGCGGCACAGTTATTCGCTCTTCTGACTCTGAAATGAAGTGCTTTTTGAGTGTGATATTCACTCAGGTGAGGAGCTATATTAAGTCCAGTGCTAGTGATGTAACAATATATGGACATGTGTTTTTGGGACTCGTTGATTAAACCTACTTAGTATTAACAACCAGGGCCATCATGGTCCGTTTTTTACCTTGCTGCTGAGGTGTATCAGGTGTATCATTATTGATAATTAATCTTGAAATACGTGCAGATCAGCGTCATTTTGTGTCACATAGTATCAAGCGGAATCAGATGCTGATATTAGAGCTTATATAGTATTTGTTGTTTTTTCTCTTTCAGCTGCTCCCGTTAGGGATCACCACAGCAGAACATTGGTCCGCGTATTTGATTTGGCACAGTTTTTACGCCGGACGTCCTTCCTGACGCAGTCCTCCCCAGTTTTATCCAGGCTTGGGACCAGCACTGAGAGCGCACTGTTGCACACAACCCCAGTGGCTGGGGTCGGTTCTCTGGCTGGGAATCGGACCCGGGCCGCAGTGGTGAGAGTGCCGTGGCCTAACCACTAGTCCTGCAGGGACCCATATATATAGTACATGTATAGCTACAAATATAAGTAAATGTGCAGGGTATCTGATCAATACCCGTTACCAGTACTGGTGTCGATGCACCCCTAGTTGGAGAAACATTTCATCAGTGTATTATTTGACCATAAAACCTATGTAACAAGATTTAAAGCCAATGTTTGTAAATATACAAAGTATTAATTGCATGAATTAGCTGTCGACAGTATGTTAGCCAAAGCAAGGTTAGGTCTTCTTTTTTACTTCATTTTTTGCTGTTTATCAGCAAAAAAAAGTAGCCACAGCACCATCCAAAGAGCTTTCCTAGACTAGCCAGGAACAAGATTTCCTGCATTGTCAGCATCAGATTGAAGGGTTTTTTTTAATCTTGAAAGACAGGCAGAGAAAGAGAAAAACAAGAAGAGGGTGACAAAAAGTATCATAGGCAAAGCAGAGGGGAAATAAGAGGAAGATGTGGAAAGTGACAGATTTGGAAAACAGAAGGATGACTGCTAGAGAGCAAAAAGTCAAAGAAAGAGTGTCAGAAAGCAGAGCCAGTGAAAGAACACAGGAGTGAGTAAGAGAGAAAGAGAATATAGGGCAGTAGGGGAGAAAAGGAGTGTGACACCAAAAAAAAAAAGGAAGCTGAGTGATGGATCTTAATGATGAAAGGGAGAATGTGTGGGGAAAAAAGTTGAGCAGACTGATTCAAGTGTGTGTGCGCATATGTGTGTGTGTGTGTGTGTGTGTGTGTGTGTGTGTGTGTGTGTGTGTCCTTTGAGGGGTGTCTTCTGAGAGTGTTCTTAATGCAGCACAAGCTCTGATCGATCTGCTCTCTGCTCGGCCTGTGCTATTCCCTGGACTCCTATTATAAACAAACATTTGTTCAGCCTATTTATTCACTCACAGCCACATTCAATAGCCAGCAAGCAAAGAAGGAAGGGGAAAAAAAGAAGGAAAGAAAGAGGCGTGTATGTCTGGACTTTCTTTTCCAATAGGTCACATGGCCACCCGATAACCCTATTTCAGCAGAATTGAAAAAAAATTCATGTGCGTGTTTTTTCGCCAACTTTCAGGTGATATCAATGGCTATATTTAGAGATTTGTATTTATATTGCAGCCACTGCACTTCACTTCACTTTGTGTGTGAACTGACTCCCTCCGACAGTCTTTTAAGAGATATAAATATGAATACATTATTCAGAACAGAACAGAACCAGATGAGAGGTGTTCTTCAGGACTGGGATTTAGAGTCTAAAAATCACGCGAGTGAATTCCATGTGGGTATGTGGTCGGATCTGAAGCTCATGGGCTGGAGCAAGTGCTCAGATATGAAGCCCACGGGACAAAGAAAGACGAAATTCATTGCCATAAATAATGAGTTTACCACAATGCGTTTGTTCATCCTTAGTAATTACAACTGTATGAGCAAAATTAAAAACGGTCCCATGCACACCTCTATTTAAAAAAAAAAAACAACACACCCACTTCATATTTAAATCTGAATACAGATATGAATATTTGGCACTTACCAGATACAGGCATTGTGTTACACCCTTAGTTTCTAAGCATGTACGTGTGTGAGCCTCTGTATGTTACCTGGTGCATGCTGATCCAATAGCCGATGACTTTGTCCGTAGTGTTTGGTTCTTTCTGCGTCCACTGCAGATTATAGGAGTAGTTGCTGCCCTTCAGGATGCGGATGGGGTTTGGCGTGTCAAAGTAAAATTCGGCAGTGTATGGTCGAGCTGGGGTGGGTTTGGAAAAGAAAAACAAAAACATTAAATCATTGTATGAATGATTATCCAATTATAATTACTTCTGCCAGGAAACACAATTCTACTCCTAAAGATAACAGAACTTTATTTCCCCAAACTCTAATTTGAGTTACTGTACAGATATCAGTCATTTCCAGGGCAAACATGATTGACTTGAGGTTGGTTATAGCAATGGAAAGCGCATTCTGGATTAAAAACCCGGTTAAATTTTGAGGCAAAAGTGACCCAAATAAAAATTCTACAAGTTCTGGAAGGATGAGTACGATGTCAAAAGTATCAATTGCCTGCATGTATACGCAGGTACCAGAGGCATCGAGACATTAATGTAACGTTTCTTTTTTCACACCAACATCAGATTATTAACTTTCTTAACAGACTTCTTAAATTATTAACAGACTGATAACTTTCTCAAGGCATGTTACTTTGGACTTTTATCAAAGCGAGCACAACAGCACCACCAATGGTCATAAGTAAAGACTACACATACTGTAATAGTATGAAGAAGCAAAACTAGGGCTGATTTCCTTCTAGCTCATACTGTAGATTCATGCCTTAAAGTGCTTGTAAGGCATTTGTTTTATTTTACTACGATATATAACATTTTAATGGTCTTACTACAGAAAGTTATGGTCTGGTATCTTGTCTTGAACATACGACAAATATTTACGTCAGGATCACATTTACAGTTTTTCTCGCAGTACACTGGCATTCTGCCAGAGGAATGGAAATCGACTTATCGGACATTTTCAATCAGTATAAACAATTGAATTATTTTATCGCCACGAGTCTGTTATAAGATTAGTCAGGACACTGTTGGGTTTCCGCACGTAGTGTATTGTGACTCTGTGTGGTGAGCAGGGCGATGGGAAAGGGGAGGGGTGTGAGCCCCCTGCTGGACAAAATTCACACCTCTCCACAATAACACTGGTACAGAGATAAAACAGACAGCACAGCTAAAGTTTTTTTTTTTGATAGTGAAACACTGTATACAACTGCCACAATAAAATAACATTTAAACCTAGTAGGCTAGGTGGTTAAAAAAAAAAAAAAAAAAAAAAAAAAAAAAAAAAAGGAATACTTATAAAAAACTATAAATTCTTAAAGCCTCGAGTGTCTACTTTCATATGAGCCATTAACCACTACTGTGGAGTGTGACATCACGAATAAATTCAATGCTGAACACGGGCATTCCCCAAAACAGGTGGAAATTTTTTGTCCTCTGGTAAAAAGAATTGAACAGCAAATAATTTACACGGCAGCGGATTTCATGTTCTTTACTCGGTCTATTACTGAAGACATTGAAGAAGCTGCACATAATATGAATAATTTATCATTTGGCCTTTTTAAGTCAACAGAAAGCTTTTACACGAAGCAATGTAAGTGTATATATCTTCAAACCTTCAAATCAAAATGGTCACAATAACAGAATTGTCTAAATGTAGGTACAGTTAGTCTCCAAATGCAACCAGACAAATATTTAAAACATGAAGCGTTTTAAGAGGAGCCTGTGATCATATGTACCAGCATCACGATATACACTCACCGGCCACTTTATTAGGAGCTCCTGTACACCTGCTCATTCAGGCAATTATCCAATCAGCCCATCATTCTGCACAATGCATAAAATCATACAGATACAGATCAGGAGCTTCAATTAACGAGTGGCCAGACGGGTTTGAGCTGACAGGATGGCTACAGTAACTCAAATAATCACTCTTTACAACAGCGGCGAGCAGAAAAGCCTCACCGAGTTCCACTCCTGTCAGCCAAGAACAGGAATCTGAGGCTTCAGTGGGGAAAGTCTCACTGAAACTGGACAGATGAAGATATTAAATATGGCCTGGTCGCTGGAATGTCACAAGAGCATTATATATGCCAAAAGCCACAGCAGTTGCTTATGTTTAATCGATTGGGAAAGTGAAAAATTGTGATCAGTGTGATCAACAGTGCAGCCCCAGTTAAATATAAGTTTGAGAATTTTTTAGTTCTCCTGAAGTGTATCTTTTTTTTAAATAGATTGTTCAAGTTTTCTGATGAAGAACCTCAATATTCTCTTCTAACTCCCACTATGAAATGTAATATTTAGACTCAACCTTTTGGAATACCGTGACTATACAAGATCACTGCTTAAATGAATACTGTGTCGAATAATATCGCGCTGGTCTCTAAATTAAATGACTGGATGTGGACTGACACATAGCATGTGTTACAATATGGGTCATGTCCCAATTATACTGCAGGCGGCATGCTGGAAAATTCAAAGAAGTCAAATTAAACCAGTGCAGTGCAAGCACACACGCACGCACGCAGACAGACACACACTGTCTGTTGTGTTCAGCAAATCTCTGAAGATGTCCTCTAGTCTGTAAAAAACTAATCTCGAGCTCATTTCACCAGCCGCTGCATGTGAACATGGACGGGTCAGTGAGCAATTTATTCCTAAGAAGATGGCTATAAGAGAATGTGCCTTTAACAGAGAAAACAATGTGGCTTGTATCACTGTATCTGGTTCACAGAGGGGGGAAAATGGATTGTTACAGCTTGTAATCTTGAGAGCAAAAAAATATCACTGAGGTTTTTTATTATTACTATTTTTGAGAGAGAGAGAGAGAGAGAGAATAGCTGTAGCTCTGAGAAGGTGGTTAGATGGAACTAGATGATAGCAATAGAACGCTTTTAGTTGCCACACTGAGAAAGATGTCTCGCTGAGTCGGAGATAAGCTTTTCGCTTTATAAGAGAAAATCCTACAAGTGGGCAAAGGTCGTTTAGCACCTCTGCTAATATCATATGGGTGCTCGCTACTGTTCTGCCCCATTAGGAGTTTCCTTCTGAAAGTACAACATACTGAGTTTTCCCCAAGCCAAAATATTATTTTCAACCAAAGAAGAACCGGTTTTGAATACATTTCTGTTAAATGTTACACACTTTCTCTGTACTAATTTCTGTAGCGCTGAGACCATTTCTACAAGACGTTCATGCTGTTCCTAAATAACCAGGACACCCTACATGAAATTAAATATCTACACTATTTTATTCATATAGCACTTTTAACAATACAAAATTGTCACAAAGCAGCTTTACAGACATCAGGACTTGAATGCTTAATGAGCAAACCTGAGGCAACAGTAGTGAGGAAAAAAATCTATTGTTAAAAACATCACACAAATAAAACTGAATTGAAATTGAACTGACTTTTTAGTTTAGTAGTGTACATTCAGCCATCGGAGTACAGTGTTAT